GAGAGAACTCAGGTAGCAGTATTTATTGAGAAAAAACACAAGCAAAAATACAGTATGCATATTCAGAAAACAATGACCTCAACAGGAGATTACTTCACCAGCATGAGAACACACAATCTTGGAAAGTCCCAGATGTTACCTTGCTAGGATGAGATCATACAGCCACGGAAAGTCTCATGGGAAAGTTTGGAAAGTCCCATGAGAAAGCACAACTGTGTATCTTGTACCTTGAACTTTCACCCATTTTCCTATTCCTTCTAAACTGGCAGAATCAAAACAGAATGAGGCACTCTGAGCAAAGATACTCCTACCCCCACCAAGAATGCCCACATCTTCCTAGACTTACTGCTAGTTATACAAAGGCCTTACAGAAAATGATAAAATGATCAATAGGTTATATTACCACAGTGGGGGGAAATGATCATGTCACTTTTTTCAATGCCATTTTAATTTTAAACCACGGTGTCAAACTTGATCGCATCATGTGACGTATCATGATATTTTTTTGCCTTTGCAGAGCCGGGGTGGGTGTGGCCTGCAAGTGATGTATCCGGCCTGTGGGCCGCCAGTTTGACAAGCCTGCTTTAAACAGTAACTTAAATGAAGACTATCTGTCTTTCAGATTTTATCTTTTAGCTAGTCAAATATATTTGATGCCATTCAATGAGTTTAAATAACCTGAATTTGACTATTCTCAGAAGATGTACTGGATTATTGAAATAGACAAATGGTACCACATCTATTGACCTGTTCTGCCCAATTCGCCCTATAGAAATGTTAATGTTTATTTTATTTAGAAAATTTATATTGCCGCCCATTCGCGCATGGCGAGTCAAGGCGGCTTACAAAGATGTAAAAACAGTAGATAAGAGAAATAAAAATAATAAAATAACGTCCCACCCCAATATACTGTATATTGCTAGTCCATGTATGATGTGCTATACGCTAAATAAATAATAACACCCGATAGCCGTGATGGCGAACCTGGCACGCATGCCACAGGTGGCACCGAGAGCCATTTGTGCAGGCATGCGAGGCCCAGGCAAATGTACCTCACTGCACATGCACATGCCTCCCAGCCAAAAAACAAGCCTGTTTCATCACTTCCTGTGTTTCCGGAAATACCGGAAGTGATTAAACGGGCCCATTTTTCTGCCTCCAAAGGCTGCAGAGGCTTCCCTCGAGCCTCTGGGAGGCCGAAAAAGGCCTGAAAATCAGCTGGGAGGCGTGCGCATGTGCAATGCAGGTAAGGGTACAGTGGGGGGAATTGTGCGCAGATGCACAGGGGGCGGCGGGGGGTGCACATTGCCTTCTGGGTGCTGGCAAGCGAGCGAGCGCCAGGACACGTGCAATTTTCAGCACAGGAGCCCAAAAAGGTTAGCCACCAGCATGTGTGTCTATTGGGTAAGGACTGCAGCACGTGTGTCTATTGGTATCTCTCTCAGCATTTCTTTAGATTTTTTTTCCTGGTTTTCTCAATGTTAATAAAATGGTAGCGTAGAGTAGATGTTTTATAGTTGTTTCATCGAGAAGAATATATAACAAATTTAAATGTTTTGAAAAATGCTGGTCTATTTTTTCAGATTACAAAGGGAGCATCTAGCTGCAAATGAGCAGCTAAACGAAGAGGTAGAAGAAAAGGAGAAAATAATTAAAGACCTCTCTGAGACACTCCAGGATAATGAAAAAAGTTACAAAGAATTACAGGCTGAACTTCTTCTGGTAAGAGAGAAACCCTGAGGCGTTTCCTTTATTATTGGTGCGAACATGCTATGTTTATTGCTCTATTCTTTTCTCTTTTCTTGAGGAGTACCTTTCTATTAAAAAAAGCATTTTAAAAAAGCGTCTAATCTTGGCAACTTGAAGGCTTGTGGACTTCAGCTCCCAGAATTCCACAGCCAGTTGAGGAATCCTGGGAGTTGAAATCCACAAAGATAAAGATAAAGACAAAGATAAATTTATTGTCATTGTACTCAGAACCTGAGAACAACGAAATAAGGTGCTCTTTCACAACATACAACTGAACAACACCAAAAGACATATACAAATAACAATGTAAAACAAATTAAAACAATTAACAGTTAAAAACTATACAACCAGGATATATATATGTTAAGACCACCAGATTCATAACTCTGCATTTAACCTGATCACAGCACTTGGGTAAAAGCTATGTTTAAATCTACTTGTCCTAGCTTTCAGCACTCTATATCGTCTTCCTGATGGTAGGATCTCAAACAATGAGTGGCCTGGATGTGAAGGGTCTCTCAAGATCTTTTGTATCTTCCTTCTACATCCCATGTTATACAAATCCTCCAATGAGGGAAGAGGACATCCGCTGATCTTTTGTGCCCTTTTTATCACTCTTTGGAGTGCCCTTTTCTCCGCCTCTGTACAACTCCTAAACCACACACAGAGGCAATAGGATAAAATGCTCTCTATAGAGCTTCGATAGAAGGCAACCAACAGACTCTCTGGCAGTTGTTGTGATCGTAAAAGTCTTAAAAAATACAATAGTTGATGAGCCTTTTTTTCTAGGGCTAAAGTATTTGCCCCCCATGTTAGATCCTGTTTCAGGGTGATACCTTGAAACTTACATTCTGCCACCTGTTCTACCAAAACACCATCGATGTACAACGGCTGGATATCCGAACTGCTCTTCCTGTAATCCACTATGAATTCCTTCATCTTATTTATATTAAAAACAAGATTGTTTACTTTGCACCAGAGGGACAACTGATGAACCTCATCCCTGTACGTAGACTCATCATTATCAGAAATGAGCCCCACCAACTTTGTATCATCTGCAAACTTAATGATCTTATTACTCAGATGAATAGAGGTGCAATCAGACGTATAAATAGTGAATAAAAGTGGACTCAATACACAGCCCTGAGGGGTGCCAGCATTGAGGATCTTCGCAGAAGAGATATGTTCATTCATCCTAACCCTTTGTGAACGATGTGATAAAAAATTCAGAATCCACCAATATATAGAGTCCGGTAGCTTCAGATCTTTAAGCTTAGACATCAATCTGTGGGGTAATATTGTGTTGAAAGCAGAACTAAAATCAACAAATAATATTCTGACATACGTTCCTTTTTTCTCCAAATGAGATAGGGCAGTATGAAGAACAGTATTGACAAGTCTTGAAGTTACCAAGGTTGGACACCCTTGATTTAAAAGATACCCTTTGGATATGTGTATCAGACTTGTAGCCAAATCTGTTCTTGAAATAACACAATTCCTAAGTGAACAGGTTCAAATTATGGCCAGCTTGTGAGTATGAGTCAGGGGTGTCAAACTTAATTTCACTGAGGGCCACATCAGGATTGTGTTTGACCTCAGGGGGGGGCTGAGTGGGCGTGACCAGGGTGGGTGTGACTAGCTCGATGTCCTGCAGCCCTCATGCAGTCCTCCTGGGTTCCATTTTCACTGGCAGAGGCACCATGGGCCGGTCCTTCACTGTTTCCAGGGCAGCTCCATGGCCCAAATCTAAGCACCCCGTTGGGCTGGATCCATTCCACAGGCCTTGATTTTGACACCTCTGGTATAAGTGTATAATTTGACAACATCCATTAAGGACCAATAAAATAGATGTTGTAATTAGGGAAGAAAGGGATATAGATATTTCAGAAGGAGCTGCATGTTGCTCTCTGAGTTGTTGCGTTATACAACTCTTTGCATTCTATAAACACACTACTCATGAAACTGCCTGATCACTGAACCTAGCCTTTCAATTTTCATATTTTACCCTCAAAATAAACTTCTCCTGAATCTGAATGTGGCTGTTCTAAAGTTTGTATTGGTTTTGCCAAAGAATCTACGATTGGTTTGCACCAAAGATATGAACAAAGAGAGTTGATCTACTGATCTGGAATTTAGTCTTTCAGGCTATGTGAATGCATTCTTGGGAGTATGAAAAAAAGTGTTTTAATTTAAAGTGTTCTACTGTAAGTGGGTTGTGACCTCTTTTAACCATCACTGTGTGGAATCCAAATTCTTCATCTTATCCCAAACTGTGCACACTTTCTACGTGTCATCAGGTACCAAATCTAGTTGTGAGATGTGTGCAATGGCTGTTAAATATGGCTATGGATCCAGATCCTTTCAGGGTCTTAAAATGAAATACGCAATGGCTACTTAAACAGCACCTGTGAAATGGCTGCATGTCATCAACTGACCAGGAAGGAAAGGCGTTCTGCTCTACATAATATTCTCAATATCACTTTTTTTTAATTTCCTATCAATTAGCTTGCAAAATAGCTAGCAGCTTGCTAGTAAAGGGAGCCTTTTTTCATCCAATATTCTGTTTCCTGTAATAGCTAGCCATCTACCTACCAGAAACCTAAAAACGGGTAGGAGCTACCTCTTCCTAATGTTTTGTAGTTGCTGGTATGAGAAGAAGAAAACTACTTTTTATTGTAGAAATAACAAGTAGTCGCTGATAGCTTTATACCTTATTGCACAGGTGTCAAACTCGGCATCGTTGCCATCACATGACATATCGTGACATTTTTTCCCTTGGTGGAGCTGGGGTGGGCATGGCCTGCGCATGACAAATCCGGCCCACAGGCCACCAGTTTGACACCCTGCCTTATTTGCCTAATGACTTTTTAAGCAAGTCAGCTTGATAGCTACCATTGCATCCTGCAATAGTGAATTCCATTGATTAAGTCAGTAATGTGGGAAGACCAGTGATGGTATTCAGCTGGTTTGGACTGGTTCTGGCATACCGGTAGCGGAAATTTTGAGTAGTTTGGAGAACTGGCAAATACCACCTCTGGCTGGCCCTGGCCTCGCAGATACCTCTCCAAAATTCTCTTGTTTTTTAGCTGAGTCATGCAGCAGAGCGGATTGCCATGCCTCAGCTGAGCTAAAAAAAACCAGCTCAGCCCACCACCGTTGACACAGAGGACGTTTTTTGAGCCCTGTACGCATGCATGAAGTGCGCTCTCATAGAACCGGTAGGAAAAAATTTGGAAACCCACCACTGGAGAAGACATATTTCCTTTTGATTGTCCTGGGCCTTTCCTGCTTCATCGAATGATTATGTTTTTCAATATTAAGAGAGGTTCTTTCCAATTAGGTGACATGTATGACCAAATAGATGGAAAGAGTTTTTTTTTTTACCTTTGAGCATTCTGTTTTTCCCACTACAACTTCACATTTAGGTTGTAGGTTTTTTTTCACATACCTAAATAACAACAACAACAACAATAATAATAACAATTATTCAATAGTCAATAATAATTCTCTAAATTAAACTAGATACTATGAACGTAAGTATTCTGTGGCTCCATGTTCACGTAGAAATGAACTGAGAATAAAAGAGACTTTGAAGTCCTTAATACTTAAATCTTTGTTTCTTGATATCTTTTCCTTAGATTTTATGGCTAAATTTTGGATTACATTTCACTGCATTGGTTTTGTCCTTTTTCTACCTATGATTGCATGTTTAAAAATGGACCATTTTTCAGACTATCGCTCTGTTTTAAAATAATTGAAAAAACACTCAAGGAACAACTTTCATTAGACATTAAATAAGTAAGGGTTTTAATAGTCCTTTTAGTAAATATATAATTAAAAAAATAAAGAGTAATCAGCACTAAAAAGAATAAAAAGAAAAAATGGAAGCTGTTAACATTAATATTAATTCAAAAAAAAAAAAAACCTTTGGGCAATTCACCCTAGTTTGAGTCTATTCCTTTCAAATCCTAGCATACCTCTCAGTTCTTGAACCTTAACAGAACATGACCTTAAGATTATTATTCTTAGATAAGCTTTCCTCGTTTTGCATATCAGTTCTTTCACCATGCTATCTCTTGCTATGCTATGAAAGCAGTAAACTCCATTTTAATTCTGATTTGACGAGAGAAAACAATGTACTCCCTTGCTTTGTTGGGAAAAAAAAGTTCAAACTTTAAATTGAACAATGGAAACCTCAAGTAGATTCATTGTTGGAAAATACTTAAATGCACTTCTCCATTTTCAAGAACCTTCTGTGGATCAAAACTTATTATGTGCTCTCTTGCTATTTTATCTGCCCCAACTGGTATTAAACCTCTTTGTGGTCTCATTCACTGACCATAATTTGGATACCCTTTAGCAGCTTCTAGACTATTAAGTATGGAAGCAATTTTAATTCATATACTTTTAAGACCAGTTAGGGGACTATTACAATTATCTAGTCTGACCTCATATGCATACTGGCTACAAAATTCATCCTGGTTGAATTGAAGTGTACCTTCCACAGAGATTTCATATTTCATTTAGAAACTCCACGCAGTAAGTTGTTTGATAAGTGGTTCACTGTAATCATCCACCGTATATGAAATTGAATCTCTTTATTTATTTGTAACTTTTGCTTTTAGGGATTAAAATGTGTTTCACGCTGTATTTGCATTGCCAAGGGCTCGGACAGACTCTAATGCAACCCTAAAATATGGTTGAAAGAAATAATTAGGCCACAGGATTAAATACTTGTCCATCTTTCTATAGGTGATTTGACCACGATTAGAGGATATGTATTTACTCTTGTTACCTTTGCCTAACACTAAATTCTAACTGGTTAATAAGCTGTGATGGCTGTTAGTAAAATGAACAGGAAGAACTGAAGTGGAAGAGAGCTTCATTCCAAGGTCCATTTTCAATTGCTTCAAATAATAAAGTAATTACATTAAATAAACTATTTAATCCTACACCTAGAAATAAGCTGGGTA